AGGTATGTTGCTGTTGGCGACCGCTCTTTATCTTGCTCAGCAGTTGTGCTGCTCTCAGATCGTGTCCGTCAGCAGGCTTAAATGGCTGATGTGGGCTTGCTGTGGTGGCCCAGCTTCTTTTTTGGCATTGTGGTACATGAATTGTGGTGCCCGATGGACAGCCTGGTTCGCTCTGCATGTGGGGTGGCCAGCCCGTGGGCAAGGACCAAGCCTTGGCCACCTTGCCAAGCCCTTGTGCCTCCTGCCCACACCCAGCCCAACCTTTAGTAGCCCTTGGTCCTACCACCTTGGTAAAACACCACCTAAATCCCTCCACCAGCACCGTTCACCTCTGTGGTGGTGGTAGGGGAGAATTTGCCCATGTGCTCCCTGTTAAATAGAGAAAATAATCTTCAACTGCCTGTTGGTGACTTTTTCTTATCTGAAGTTGCTCTCTTCCCCCACGCCACTGCAGGGATACGGCTTCCCGGTGAACCAGCTCTTTGACATGCTGTTGGAGATCCAAGACCAGTATAGTGAAACCCTGCTGAAGAAATGGTCAGGAGTTTTCAGGTAAGAAGCTCTTTAAGCAAGCTCATGAGATGTACCTTACAGAGTAGTTTTGGCCCATAAATAAAATCTTTTGAGAGATTAGTAGCAAGCTCATGTTTAAATTTTGGGCAACAGTAAGCTTCAGCCTGGGCTTTTCTTGGACCAGGGAGAGCCAATTTAAATACAGTTGTGAGGATCCTGTGTGTGGTGAGATCTGTGCAATAAATTGGTGTAGACCAGAGGTTTTACGTCCCAGAGGGATAAAGTTATGGTTTCATTATGGAGCTCACTTTGACAGTCGATGGGTGGAAGGATGCAAAAATCTGGTGTTGCAGTAGTGTTGCTGTGCCCTCGCTCCAGCACTGAGCCACGTGTGTCTCGGGACATTGGTGGCATATCCCGGTGCTGCTGCTGTAAGCAAGTCTGTGAGCTGAGCAGTTGCCCGCAGGTAGGGCACGATATATTATCCAGGGTCCCATGCTGTGCTCGGGACCCACCAGCTCATCCTGTGGTGGTGCTCCAGGACATCCCAGGAGGATTGAAGTGTCTCAGAGCATGGGGCATTGGGAAGAGGTGCTTGGAGGATTGTCAATGCCCTGGTAGCTCAGCCTCTATCTTCGAGTCAGGCAGGACTGAAGCTCACTTGGGCTTTACCAGGGCCAGCTGCTGAAGCTCCAGTCTGGACTAAAGCACTGCTAAACTCTGGTCGTGGCTTTACGCACAATGAAGGCTGGAAGCTGGGAGAGATCCTTGTGTCCGGCTGCAGCAAAGACGATTTCAACAGTCGCAAACGCGGGAAGAAGTTTAGGCCCATGGGGTCATATCTTTGACTGGCACTTACTTCTTAAGAGCTTCCTAACTGAGCTGTAAATCTGCAAAGTTGTGGTTGGTCTGTCGTCACAGAGCTGTCTTTCTAACTTTTCTTTTCTTTTCATAGAAATATACTTGATTCAGATAACTACAGTCCCATCCCAGTGACAAATGAAGAAGTTTATAAGAAAATAGTTGGACAGTTCCCGTTCCAGGATGCAGAACTTGAAAAGGTAATCTTGAAATGGGGAAAGTGGCGCGGCGTGCCTGCTGGTGCAGGAAAACCCGCACCCTTGTTAGTGGTGTTGAGAACTGCGAATGAAAGCGTGAAAAAAACCAACCAACCCAAACCTCCAAACCAAATAAACAACAACAACAAAAAACAAAACAAAACAAGGGAAAAGAACAAATATACTTTCCATGTGATGCACTTCTGGCGTGGATGACAAAAGTGCGTATAGCAATACCTCATTGATTTTGTTTTCAGATCACAGTGTACTACTGCAGCTGAACAGTGCTTGCAGTAGACAAGAGACTAGAAATGTCTGTTTCCATTGGTATTTTATTCCCATTTTATGAACCGTGTTATTGAACTTTATTTGTTTTAATCTCATATTAAAAAAAATAAAAGCCTAACAAAGTGTTATATCTTGGCTTTTGTAGAAGTGTGTGCTTACAAAACCTAAGTGTAGCCAAATTTGACCTAACCAGTGTCCCTTAAAAGCCTGCTTGGCCTTCTGCTCCACGTCTGGCAGCCAGAGCTGCAAGCCTGGTGAACTTAATTAGGACTAGGAGGGGTTTTGATCCAAGTGTTTAGATTTCAGAAAGTCTGCATCCTTCCCCAAAACTGTATCATGGGGTCCAGTTTCTTACTATTATGCTCTGCACCTCCCAGCCGTGAGTGTGCTGTGGGTAAAAGCTGGTTGGAAAAATTTGGTAGAGGACATCTGTTTCCTCTTGGCTTTTGGTGTTGTAAGCAAGTGCTCACCTTGGGCAGCAACTGTGGGAGGTGACCGAGCAAAACGCCTTGTGCATGGTAGGAGATAAAAGTCAAGGAGTTCTCCGACGGGGTTTTTTCATGTGAGTTAGGGAGCTGGGAGAGGGAATGAGGGTCGTGTTGTGCTGCCTGCTCCCTCCTAGCTGCAAGTTTCTTTCCAGCCCGTTTCAGACTCCAAATCCCTTATGCACCCGTGTGCCATTTGTAAGTGATTATCTGGTCTTTCACTTGGCTGAAATGTTTATATAATATACAATAAATGCTGGCTTGTTGTTTCATTGCTGGACTTAGCTAAACACTAGAATTAATTTGACTGCTTGGAACATGTTGCTGGAAAGCGGTCGTCACTCCTGTTAAATATCTGCTCTTTGACTTGAATTCTCTCCTGTATTTTACAGCAGCCGTTTCCAAAGAAGTTCCCCTTTTCTGAGTTTGTGCCTAAAGTTTACAATCAGATTAAGGAATTCATCTACGCCTGTCTGAAGTTTTCAGAAGACCTTCATCTGAGGTAGGGGATGAGTGTGCTAACAGTTGTAATACGGAGGTTTTGTCTGCACTGAAAGGTCTCAGCGGGATTAAAATATGAATTCTCTTCCTCAACCCTTCATGCTGCTCAACTGCTTGGATATACCCTGTCCAGACTGGAAGTGGCTGGTAGACTCCTTGGGGTGGTACCATGCTTCGTGTACAAAGGGCTGGCCAAGTCTTCAAAAATAGCTGCCTCATGGAGGGAAAGATAGCCCAGAACC